TGAAATTTATGAATGTATATCATAAGAATTCCATGAATACAGATATGGAGGGCTATAATTTGAGTACATAGTTACATTATATACAAATATATCAGTGCTCTGAGACAAGAATTTAGTCACCTTAAATAAAATGACTGTTTATCTTAGTACTAACTGGAATATCATATTATTTTATATTTTTTTCATTCATTTATGTCATCATTTTTTTTTTTATAAAATATAAAAGTCTTTCAAAACTGCAGCCTCACTCAACTTTCTTTCATACATATCCACCATTTTTTACAGCTGTACAAAAGGTATAGAGGACAATAATGAAATAAAAAATAAGCACCTAACACTACTTACCCTCCATTATACAGAATTCAATTTGTCTAACAATTCCTCTACCTCTAAGAAAAAACAATATTTATCTTGGGTTCCCTTTAGAATACAGTTTCTCTAAAGTAAACTATTATCAGAATTCTAAAAATAAATTTGTTTATCTATACATTCAATTTTTTAATGATGAATTTAAAACTTTATTCATCAATTGTTATAATATTTACCTTCCATTTTAGGATAGACTGAACAGAACAACACATGTCTATTGAGATGGAATCACAATTTTATTGAAATCTGATTTTCTTCTAATATATTTTTGTTAAAAAATAAAAATAAAGATATGAACTCCATACTAAAACACCATACATATTAGGGTAACATTACAATTACTTACAGAATTCACCTCACCTAATAAATACCTGTAAAAAACAAAACAAATAAAAATAAATAAAAAAGTTACATACAATCCAACAAAGGGGTCAAAAACACCGGAAACAACTGCATTACTCCTATCATAACTCACAGCATGAACACCAATCTACACCTTTCAGACAGAACGAACTCATTCACCTGAGTCCAGTCCTTATAACAATGCTCCTCCACCTTTATTGAGGATCTCTGTGGCCATCTCTATCCTGCGCGAGAGGAGCTGATGGTTGGGATCATCTGATTGCTTCTTGGAGCTGAGGAACTTGAAAATGAATATCCGGAGGCTCTGGCGGAGAAGACGCAGCTTGGGAGAGAGGGATAGCTGAGAGAAAATTTTATCAACAGTGTCAGCTCCAGCTGGGTGGAGTAGGAGAGAAATAAGGAGCTGTCTTAAGAAGCTTACTGTCTGGCCCTCCACCTCCATAAACGAGATTGTCTTCAGAATTGACAAGTTAACTGCATCCTCACCAATTAGATGGGACAGGAACTTGGCCAGGTTGGCAATCTCTCTCTGCTTGAGGTCTTCCAATTCTTTGAACTTATCCCAGAGTGCAAACTGGATCAACCTCTTGTATTTTCTATCAAACTTGCACATTCTATTGCTCAGGTATGCAAAGAAGGCATTGTACTCCTTCCCCTTCTGTGCACACAGCAATATTACACTAAACAGTTCCCGCTCTTGTGTTGGTGGTAGGCTGAGCTGACTGAGCTTCTGAAAGGCATCCAGATAATCCTCTGAGCCCTCTGTCACTATGTATAGGATGTTGATTCTAGGGGGACGGGACAATTGCAGCTTGGCTGCACGCTCTTTGAATTTCTCACTGAACTCCGTTTCTAAGCCCTTGGCAGTATTCAGGTCCTGCTGCCTTTCTTCTGTTTTTCCATCAATCATGCTACCAGACCAGGCTGAACCCACAATCCACCAACGGCCACACTCCCGAGCTTTCAGTAAGTCCTCCAAGGTAACCTTGAGTGGTGCATTTTGAGTGCCCTTACGCACAAAGCCCTTTAGGACTTTCTTGAGATGTTCAACATGGGTAGGGTCATAGTTGGGCACTTTAGCCATGTTATTGTTGCGGATGGCCTGGACTACCTCCAACATGAAACGGATACGTGTGAAGGAAGTGCTATCCTCACTCTGAGCCTCTGCTTCAGCTGCTTTGCTCTGGATCTTGGTGATGAGTGACTTGAGGGCAAGAGGATCATCCTTGCGAAGGGTGAAGCCCACATCACGCAGCACCAGAAGGATGAGCTCCACCTGGAAGGAAAAATATATTAGTTCTACTTTTTAACTGAAATAATCCTTCAATTCCATATATCATAATGGCAAAACAAAAGCTCCATTTGAAATACAATGTTTCTTTCCATACAAAAAACCTACATCTCACAGTGATAACTGTATCTATGATGTAATCCTTTAGCAACTTTGTATTAAAGAAATATGAATTCCAGTCACTTAACCAAGCAAAAGCATTCACATCCAACATAAATATCTAGAAACAGTATCAAAATGAAAATTACCATTATGCATATCTAAGGCCAAGAAAAAGAAACACAGATTTTTTAAAGTAATGCCACTTATCAACCACTTGCATTTCCTCTTACTGAATACTTGTTTCATGAATACTTATTTTCAGAAATTATGAAGTTCCTTGGTTTAAGTAACAACCAATACCCTAAGAAATATATTTCATAACAAAATCAATATCCCAGACGAGGAAAATGCTTCAAAATCTATAAGAAATCTCTCATGTTTGGGAAATGTGGGTTACAGGAACCAACATATTTTACTCACTTTCCCCTGTAGATAATGTATTTCTTTTGTAACACTGATCTTTACAAACAAATGAGAAATTCTACCGAGATGAAGCAAACAAACTTCAAGTTGATTTCAAAACTGTTACCGACTTTTTAAAATAAACCAGATTAAAACATTCATGCTGTTTGGGTTCCCAACATTCACTTTTTCTTCATGCTTCAACTTCTTCTTTGTTGTTCAACTGAATCATTTAATGAACTTATTTATCTCTGTCAAGAGAAAAACTTCGCTTGGTAACAGTCAATATTTACCGTTATGTTCATATTCTCTTACCATTGAAACTTTCTGGTCACTTTCTTTTCCCACATTCCCCTTCTACACACCAAGCTACTACATATCACACAGTTAGCTCCTGTTATCTTAATTCCTTTTTTACAATCAATACATCAAAATATATCTAAATAAAACTTTTTTGTGATTTTTAAAAATATGCTTTTGTTGCTTTATGAAGGCCATGAAATCCTACCAACAAAAATTTACTTTCAAGAAACTTTAAAAATCAGGCCTTTCTTACAGAAGAGAGGGCCCCAATAGACAAGCTAGAGTATTTCCAATGTTTAGAGATTAATAATCAAAACCAGAACTAACAGTAACAAAATTTAAAAATATATATATATTCTCACCTCCTTTTCACCAAACTTCTCAGCCAGCTTCTCTAAGATGCCGTAGACAAGAGTTGCATCCATCACCCTAAAGTTGTACAGGTTGGCAATGAACTGGAGCAAGTTGTCAAGCTCCTTGGATTCGAGCCCTTTCTCGGAGTCTAAATCTTCTGACTGATCGCTCCATTTCAAGACAAACTCATTCAGGATATGCGCACCAACCTATGGGTAAGTAGAAGGGAGTGTTATGCAAGATTGGAAGGGAGTAAAGAAGGGCTAGAAGAGAAGAGACAAAAACTACGTAAAGAAAGCTTAACTGGAAGTGCGATGATTATCAGGCTCATAATAATCATTAAAAAAAAAAAAAAAATACAACTTTCAATTTCAAATAATAACCTTATATATAACATAATATAATATAATACTCACATATAACAATGTGTTATAATACTAATATCTAATAATTCAATAATAAATGTATAAAATGAGAAGTTACATAATCAATACTCATCTTGAGAATTGCTTTGGAAGGCTAGAAATGTTATTAAGGTGTTAATGAGAGGACGTGGAAATGACATTTTAAAATTCTTATTCTTATTCTTTAGCAATTACCTTTCTCTTCATTCACTACCATATCCTGAAACAGCCGAAATAAAATCAAAATGACTATACTTATGTATCACCTCCTTCCTAATTCTTGCATAGAATAATTCTTTCAAATCTTAACATAAAGGAAGATATAGATGCTCTCTACAAACAGTGCATAATCAACCCTTATAAGACAAAATCTGGCAATTGTTATTTTTAGGTATCTATGCGCATGCAATGAAGTATTGCAAAAGTCAATTATATAATAAATATCCAAATTATAATTATATAGCTCCACATAAGTGTGCAATAGAATGGGGGAAAAAATAATAATAATTCCCTGCTGTATCCACATAAACCTCTGAACTCTGCAATGTGTCATCAGTTAAATAAAGAAAGTAATGCAGTCCTTATTATGATCCAAGAAAGCAATGCTATCTACCAAACCAAAACAATGAAGATAAGTTTCAATCACCAAACAAGAGAAGCAGTGCACTATCATCCAATAAACATGTACAATTATTTCTACATTTCAGACATGCTTGCTTACCTCCTCCCCAATATTGGCAGAGAGTACAGCCACCAGCATGGCATGCTCCTGGACCAGTCTCTCTGGGGTGAGCGTAGGCCCCACAAGAGATTCCAGTAGCAGGCTGGTGAAGACTTCACTCATGTCATTACGGCTGAACTTGGAGTACATGCCCTCAATTTGGTTGGCAATACCACCGAGGTTACTTTCTGCCAGTCGGTTAAGCAGGCCCTTGAGAGTCTTCTTCATCCCTGCCAGTTGCTCCTTCTTCTTCTCATCAGTGTTCAATGCCATGAGCTTCCTAAGGGCAGGAGGAACGTACTTACCACCCACGGATTGGCTCTCCTCCTCCTCACGTTTCACTATATTGCCTTCCTGGTCCCTCAGGCGCCCATATATATCCTCAGTCAGGCCATCCTCCACCTCCTCTTCCTCTTCCTCCTCCTCCTCCTCCTCCTCTGCTTTTTCATTATTCACTTTATCACTTATATCACCTGTTAAATCATTATCGTCATTACTCTCGTCATCACTAAATTCAGCACTACCGGGAGACTCGTCTTCAACATCAAGTTCCTCATCACAAGGTTGTTCATTAATGCTGCCTTCACCATCATTACCATCATCATCATCAGCACTGAATTCTGCACTCCCAGCTGATTCATCACCAGACTCTTCATCTGTAACCTCTGGAAGGTCAAATGACACACGTCTCTTCCCACTGGCTTCTTCCTTTGCTTTGTTGCCCCTTGGTGCTGTTTTCTTTTGTTTCCTATTTGTTGGTTTCTTCAAAATGGTTTTGATTTTATTGCCTTTGCTATCCGAGTCTTCACTTTCGCCTGATGCTACAGGGCTTCCTTTTTTCATTTTTTTGCTATTTACTAGATCTTCTTCATTTTCTTCTTCTTCTTCTCCTTCCGAAGACAATTCTGACCTTTTTCTCTTAATACTCAACTCATTTTTAATTTCACTATCATCATCATCATCACTATCTGCTATGTTGATTTTCTTTTTCTTCTTGTTTTTCTTTGGAGATGGCTGTTCTTTTTCATCACCAGTGTCCTCACTTGTAACTGTGGGCAGTGGCACTAAATTCTTGGTTACTAATTTCATTTCCTTATCAGTTGTTTCATTACTACTATCATCACTCTCATTATCACTGTCTTTATCAGATTCTTCATCCTCCTCATCACTAATAATTAACCTAGGTGACTTGCTACTTAACTTTAACTTCGATTTTGCATTTAGAGGTACATCATCGACCATATCTTTGTCTTCATCACTATCTTTATCACCTTTATCACCCTTTTCTTCATTCTCATCTTCACTTTCCCCATCACTCATGACAACCAACCTCTTCTTCTTCCTCTTCTTTACTGGAGATAGGCCATCACCTGCAGGATCATCAGAGTCATCAAATTCCTCTACTGGCAGTTCATCATCAACATCTTCAAATTCAACTTCCTCATCATCCACAACAAAGTCTTCAAGGTCTGTGTCATCCTCGCTGTTACTTGAATATCTGTCAATCTCATTTTCCTGTCCATTCTTTAGGATTTCTGGCTTGCTGTAGTAGCCAGAGCCTCCCTCAAAGGCAAAATCTTCCTCATTCCTGATGTCATGTACAAGCTCCCGACCATCATCTTCGCTCTCTTCATCACTACATTCCATTGCTTCTGTATCCAAAAAGCCATCATTTTCTTCCTCTTCCTCTACCTCTTCCTCCTCATTTACAACTTCTTCACCATCAAAATCCTCTTCCCTTTCTCTTGATATCCTGCCATAATCTATCTTAGGTTGTTCATCTGCCTCCTCTTCATCATCTGTATACCATTCACCTTCTGCAGAAAACATCCCATCTTCACTATCGCCTCCTCCATTTGCATGTCTATTATCCTCTCCATTTTCTATGTCATATAGATCTCCTTCCTCATCATGACTGCCTTCACTTTCATCTCCATAACCCATCTCATCCTCACTCTCGTCTACATTTTTAATCTCTTTCCTCTTCTTTTTGAACTTTGTAGGCCTGCTTCTCTCCTCACCATATCCATATTCTAATTCACTGTCTTCCTCACTCTCCACATCTATGCCATTTTCAAAAGTATCAAACTCATCACTACCCAACCCCTCATATTCTTCCATTTCATCACCATCATCCTCTCCATTTTCAAATGCATCAAAAGCATCATCAAATGAACCTCCCTCATCTCTGTCCTCCAGAGACTCTTCAACCTCACTTTTCTTTTTCTTTACGTTTGTCTGCCCTAGTGCCATGGCCATATCTTTCTCCAAATCGTCTTCACTGTCACTTGCTTCAACATCTGCATGCTTGTACTTATTCAGGTGTTGCATGTGGCCTCCTTCAATATCTTCAATCAGGCTTCCAAAGTCATCTCCGAGGAGGGGCACCATTTTCTTGCGAGACTTTGCATTCAGATTTAAGAGGGTTGATAACTTCTTGATCTCCTTGTTGTCTGCTTCAATTTCCTGTTGTAATTTCTTCAACTTTGTCTTGTCTTTGATATTACTGGTATTTTTGTCTGTCTCTGCCTCTTCGCTTGGCCCAGCCTGGTTTTTATTTTTCTTCTTTTTTCCTCCTTCCTCTTCACTAAATGTCCCCATCTTCCTAGCCTCTTGATTGACATACTCCTGCAATCTGGCCATGCGATCGCTCACCGAGGAGGACATCTTGAAACCCTGTTCTTCTTCTTCCTCCTCTTCTGATTCATTATCTTGCATTTTCTTACTGCCATTCTGCATATTTTGTTTGCCACCCTTTCCCTTCCCTTGAAATTTACCTTTTCCTTTCTTGCCGTTACCACCTTTGTCTTTGAACATTCCCATCTTCTCTTTCTCTGCCTGTGCATATGCTTGTAATTGTTTAATTCCTTTGGCATTAGGACTGTTTTTCCCATTAGGTCCATCCTCACTGGTAAATCTACCTTTCCCGCGACGAAATCTCCTCGAGAATAGGGATTTTTTCTGCTTAGCTTGCAGACGCTTCTGTTTACGGCGTTCCTTCCGATGCATAAGAGTTTTAGCAAGTCCTACAGCATTGGGCTTGTTGGTGGCATTTCTCTGCTTGTTAAATTTCATTCTGTCGGGTATTTCTCAGAGGGAGACGTACACACACACACACACGTGCGAATACTTGGGGTTTGTTTACAATCTTACGAGCGTAAAGTATATATCCATATATATTATTAAGAAATATTAACTTCTTTTCTTTTCATTAGCAATCCTTCAAAGATAGCTAAAATCTTAAATTTTAGCCTTTCATTTTATTTCAATGGAAATTTTATTTGGTATTGTACAAAATGATACCGATATTAGATACATAATCGAAGATATAGTTGCCGCTTTAAGAATACTATTGGTATTGCATTGAAAAATATAGTATACATCAGATATACACGTATATGTTATTCTATTAGAAATTCTTTTAGATTATGTATAGTGTAAGAAATCCATAACCAATAAAAAAAATGTAGTCCCGTTTCCTTCTGTGCAAGTCAGGGGTAGCAGTTTTCTTAATTCTCAAAATTGATATAAACTTTTAATTATGACCTTATATAAGCAATATAAATTTTATTACACACAATAAAAATCTGTCTTGAATCATATTTAATGCAAATTAATCAAAATCTTTGTAGCAAAATCATCAAATCATATTCCACGAACCAGAAAGCCATTCTAAACCACAATAACTCCGAAGCTGAACACCTCTTCTAATTCCACAAAATGAAATAAGAAGCATTCCAATCTCCATTTCCTCCGCATTCTAAGAAAAATCCCCCTTTATTCAAATTCCACTTTGCGAAGGTGACCCGCCCAAGGCTCGGCTAGGCTCTCCACCTCCATTGTTGTCACATCTCTCGCCTCGGAGCCCGGATTCCGCCTCCCGCGTAAGTATTATGGCAACGCGCCCGACATGTCAACAACAGCCATGTCAACAGCACAACGGGGCAACGGCGGCGGCACCGAGCCAGGCCGCGATGCCGTCGGGGAATAAGGGGGAAAGAGAGCGATAGAGGTAAATCAGGGAACGAGGCTCACGGGCTGACCTTGGCGACAAAGATATTCCTGATTTTGGACTCGAAAATGGTGGACGGAGGAAAGGGAGGAGGAGGAGGTGGAGTGGGAGCGGGAGGAGAGGGGGAGGAAGAAGAGGAGAGGGAGGAGGAGGGCGAGGAGAGAAGAATTAAGGGGGAAGAGGAAAGAAAGGGAGGGAGACAAGGAAGTGGAGGAGGAGAGGGAGGACGACGAAAAGGACAAGGCAAAGGAGAGGGGATTGAGGAGGCTTTGTTTTGTTGGGGAGGAGGAAGGGAAACATACTTCTCGTAGATTTTTTTTTTTTTTTCTTGGTAATTCAGAACTAGAATTAGGCTTTTTTTTACCATTTTTATTATTATGCCAAAGGACGTGATAATAATTCTTTAATTTAGATTATATTATTTTGACATGCATAAGTGGATTTTATATTTATCTATTTATTACAAGATCAAACTGTGTGTAGTCAGTCATCTAGTGTTAGTAGAGTATTCATTGAGTTTTTAACATTTTATCCTATTATAGATATATTTTTAATCAGATATGTGAAATTTAATTATTGTTATTGTTCATCATTATTAATTATTATGATAGTGTTCTTTTAATTACTAATTTAAGACTTGCCTTGAGCATCATGTTGGTACAGAGCTTTAAGTTTTCCAAGTATTATTTTACATTATTGAGACAATCAAATAAAGTATTCTGACAAAAAAGCATACCCACTACAATTAAGATTAAACTGATTTTTACTTGTTTTTGTGATTATTACTTTGAACTGCTAAGCTCTTGATAGCTGCCACTGACCTTGTAACACTCAGCATGGCCTCTACACTTGTCATTGCTCTGCCAAAGCCATAAACATCCACCGAGCATATCCTATAACAACTCTGCTTTTAAAACTTGGAATTGTTTTAATGCTTGATTGATGTAAACCAAAGTTTGATTAATTTGTAATACCTGCAGCACATGTTTATAATTTGGATGATCAAAATTGATATCATCATCATTATCATCATTGTTATATTAAAATTATTATTATTAACATTATTATTATTATTATTGTTGTTATTGCTGTTGTTATTGTCAATTATTATTTTTATTATTATTGTTATTATTGTTGTCATTATCATCATGAATCATCAATCATTATTTTCTTTATAATGATGTTTGTTAATATCATTATTATTTTGTCTCTTGTATTATATGTTCATACTCTCTCTTTCTCTTCTTTTTTCATTTTTTTCTCCTCCTCCCTCTCCCTCTCTCTCTCCCTCTCTCCTTCCTCCTCCCTCTCTCCCTCCCCCCCTCTCTCTCTCCCTCCCTCTCTCCCTCCCTCCTCCCTCCCTCCCTCCCTCCCTCCCTCCCTCCTCTCTCCTCCCTCTCCATCTCTCTTCCTCCCTCTCTCCCTCCCTCTAACTCTCTCCCTCTCTTCTCCCTCCCTCTCTCTTCCTCTCTCCCTGTCTTCCTCTCTCTCCCTCTCTCCCTCTGTCCCCCTCTCTCCTCTCTCTCTCTCTCTCTCTCTCTCTCTCTCTCTCTTCTCTCTCTCTCTCTCTCTCTCTCTCTCTCTCTCTCTCTCTCTCTCTCTCTCCTCTCTCTTTCTCTTTTCTTTCTCTTTTTCTTTCTCTCTTTTCTTTTCTCTTTTCTTTTCTCTTTTTCTTTCTCTCTTTCTCTTTCTCTTTCTCTTTCTCTTTCTTTTTCTTTCTCTTTCTCTTTCTCTCTTTCTCTTTCTCTTTCTCTTTCTCTCTCTTTCTCTTTCTCTTTCTCTTTCTCTCTCTCCTCTCTTCTCTCTCTCTCTCTCTCTCTCTCTCTCTCTCTCTCTCTCTCTCTCTCTCTCTCTCTCTCTCTCTCTTCTCTCTCTCTCTCTCTCTCTTCTCTCTCTCTCTCTCCTCTTTCTCTCTCTCTCTCTCTCTCTCTCTCTCTCTCTCTCTCTCTCTCTCTCTCTCTCTCTCTCTCTCTCTCTCTCTCTCTCTCTCTCTCTCTCTCTCTCTCTCTCTTTCTCTCTTTCTTTAGTGTCAGACTTTCATCTTTATCTTGTGTTTTACTTCTGATCACATTAGACTATAGTGGTGTTAAGGATACCATGGCTTAACTATTTTTGTGTGTAATATTATGGTATTATTATTATTATTATTTATGATAGTAGCATCACTGACATTTGTTTACATTATTGTTTTAAGATTAATTTTGGTCTTGATTTGCAGGCGTGAGTGATGTCAGAAAGTGAAGATGGGACCATCCTGGGAGGAAGTGGGCCCCTAGAGATGAATGTGGTCAGTTTGCCAAAGATGGATGCAGCTCAGTTGGACCAACTGGGTCTCAATGGCCCAGGAGGAACACTGACCACCACGGGCCTGACCTCCCTAGGAGCAGCTTCCCAGCACTATGCCCCTGCACCCTCAGGGGGCACACAGGCCTTGCTGGATGGCGTTATGGCCCAGGGTTCACGCACACTCAGCTCCGTCAGTCCTGCAGTTACTTTTACCTCAGCTGGCGGCAGCGCACAAGACTCGTACGGTAGCCTAGAGTACGTCACACAGATGCCCCTTCCAGATGACCAGCAGGCCAAGTTCCCAGATGCTCTTGTGTCTGTTGATAATGTGGCTTTTGTGGAGATGAATGATGCAGCCATGAAGGGGGCTACAGCGTCAGCACCCCTTGAGCTTTATTTTGATGTGATTAACCCAACCACTACTCCTGCTCCTACTACATCAAGTGCCCATCATGTGCGGCATGAACATCAGACCCCCAAGGCACAGCTACTGGGGCGAGCTTACTCAGATCTGTTTCTGCAGCAGCAGGAGCAACAGCATCAGCAGCAGCAACAGACACCAGAACCTGATCAGACAGAGCATGTGCTGTCAGATGTAACAACAGCCAATTTAGTTCAGCTGGATCATGATGGCTTACCTCAGGCACTACATGACTATCGAAAGCCCCAAAAGATTGAAGTCCAGAAAAGACAGATGCAGCAGTTGCAGCAGCAACAACAACAGCAACAGCAGCAGCAACAACAGCAACAGCAGCAACAACACCAGCAGCAGCACCAGCATCAACAACAACACCACCAGCAGAGACAGATTCAGCAGCAGCACCAAGAACAGCATCAGCAAAGGCAGATCCAGCAACCACATAGGTTACAGCAGCCACAGAAACAATTTCAATTCCAGCAGCAGCCACAGCAACAGCAGCAACAACATCAGCAGCAGCAACAACAGCAACAGCAGCAGCAACAACAACAGCAACAGCAGTCACATCAGCAACAGCATCAACAACAGCAGCAGCAGCAACAGCAGCAACAACAACAGAGACAGGTACAGCAACACCGTCAGATTCAACAACAGTCAAAACAGTTCCAGCAAATTCAGAAGGAACAGAACAGCCAGTTGAGTGAGTCACAGGAGCAGCAGCAGCAGTCACACCCTCCTCCTCAGCTGATGCCCCTTGTTTCCCGTAGTGGCCGTCCCATTCGCCGCAGGCCTGAGTATGTGGAATATGTGAGCCAGAACCTAAAGGAGGAGGAAATTCTCCCACACCTCCCCCAGCAACTGGTCAAGGTGGAGGACATGGTAATCACAGCAGAGTTTGAGGAAGAGGACCCAATGGAGGAGGTGATGGAGGAGGAGGATCCCCTAGAGGAAGACCTAGACTCCAATGATGAAGACCAGGACAATGGCGGGAACTACAGCACTGATGGGAAGAAGTCACTGCCACACAAGAAGAGAATTCCCAAGAAGCTGAAGACAACCAAGAAGCATGTCAAATGCTACAAGTGTGCCCAGTGTGGAGAGCAATTCACAAACCAACAACAATTTACGGCTCACAAGCAGACACACACACCACCCCCAGCCAAGCCCAAGCCTTTCAGTTGTGAGATTTGCTCAAAGGGATTTGAAACGCAGCTAAAGTTCTTTGAGCATTTGAAGGGCCATTATGAGCCATACAAGAAACACAAGTGTGAGGTATGTGGGGGTGAGTTCGAGAGTGCTGATGCCTTGCAGGAGCACTCTATGGTGCACTCACGCGAACACTACAAGTGCGAACTCTGCAACAAAACATTCCGCAAGGAGAGCATGCTAGAAGTCCATCTCAAGGTGACACACATGGAGGA